TATCAATATACTTTCAATTATTGTGCATTTTCGCTAAGTTTTTAATAATTATTGGATATTAAACTATTTTTATTTATTAATATTAAAATATTAATTTAGATGAAATTAGGAGTGTTGATCACGGTCTAGTTTAGTTTGGTTGTAGGCTATTTGGCCAACCAAATTGACATGGTCAGGTTGAGGAGTTGGTTACCCTAAATGTACTGACCATTAGTGGAAACCAACTAAATCGGGTTGTATTGGTTTAGGTTGATTTTTGGTTTGTTCAATTGGTTTAAAAGATTATATTGAAAACTCAATTTTAAATTTTAAAAATTACATTAATATTATTAAAAATTAAATTTATAATATAAAATATTTGAGACTAAGAAATATGGGAATTTCCCCACTTCCCTGTATTAAATAATTATATTTAAAATATAAAAATATTACTATATATCTATGATTAGGTCATTCGATTTTGGTCAATTTACAAATGGCCACAACGAAACTGATCTCAATTTCAACCGAAAATATTAGAAACTGAGCAATTCGAGTCGAGTTGGTCGGGTTGATTGGTTTCATTAGTTCGATGAACAAGCTTAACTGAAATAGATTATTATTTTTGTATTGTAAAAAGTTATTAAAAGTATTATAAAATATAAATAATTAATCAATTTTTTAAAAGTTAAAAATATAAAACAAGTGTATACTCTTATGTGTTTTATTGTTTAGCTTTCTTTAACAAAACCCCACCCGCTAATTTAACATATAAAATAAATGTTTTAGAACAATTCCCCATAAAATAAGTATATTGGTAATGATACAATATGTATTAATGGATGTTGGCCAATATAATACATAACAAGATTTTAAACCTTGACTACACCACTAATGGGTTTGCTCCAAGTAGCTCGCCAACAAAAGTAGATTAATGCAAAATGTGACTTAAAGAGGGTTGACATTATCTTTTTTTTTTTAAAAAAGAATAAATTCCAACAGGTCATTCCATTCATCAATCAATTTAGGGTCTGTTTATTTTAAGGGAATAGTGGTTTGGAATTAGAATCAGAATGAGCTATTCTAATTCTAACTATTTGGTTGGATAGAATGAGAATCCCATTCTTGTTCCTGGTGGAATGGCATTACTCTATTCGTTTATCTTGAAAGTAAAATCCCATTCCAGTTGATTTCAATTTCAATTCTAATTTTCATATAAACCAAACAAAGCTTTGGGAACAAACCATTTAGAGACAACATGGTAGCTCGAGTGAACTAATGAATGGATGAAAGAAAAGGAGAAAAGCAAAAACCGAATTAAATGAATATTCGTTGTTGTCATGGTTATGGACTGGCCACAATTAGATAATTTTGAATGTATAAAATCTTGTTGCCAATACACCTCAAAGGAATCTCTAGTGGTCCTAGGATGAACTGGATGGTGGAAATCTCTCCAACAAATAAGAGAAATGAGAAAGAAAGAAGGAAACAAAAGAAAGAAAAAAGCCATCCTCAATTTAACTTTGTTATATATTACAGTCAAAACGGCATCTATATATGAAAATTATAATCAATTCATTACCTAAATAAAGTCTAATCTCATCCAATCCATGCTTGCATATTCTCTTAATCTCTTCATTAAGAGAAGTCTTTTTTTAATCACCTTTTGATTGTTCTAAGTTGAATGTAAGAGGTTGTTTTGATATATACATGGCATGAATATTGATCTATAACAACTTCACATCTCTTGTCCTATTATTAACAGTCTCAAGTCGTAGATGTGTAAATCGGGCCGTGCCACCCGTGGCCTAGTACAAATTTGGACCGGTTCGACACGACGATCCATGGGCCATGTTGGGCTTGGGATTTTAGGTCCACGGGCCGGCACAATATATATATATACATATATATATATGTATATGTATATGTATATATACATATACATATATATATATGTATTTAATTATTGCATATATAAGTAATTTTACACACAAAATTCATATAAAATTAAAATTTTAAGTCTTTTGTCAATTTTTGAATAAATAGTTTTGGCCTAATGCATGGTCCAACCTGGCCGAAGGCTCGACCCACGGGCCTGGGCCGTGGGCTGTGCCGGGCCGACCCCCAAATTTTTCACCGGGGAGGGTGACACGACTCATGATGGCCCACAAGTCAGCACGGCACGACCCGCATTTTGCGCGAACTGCCCATGGGCCATGCCATGCTGGCCCGGCACACCCACTTTACACCTCTACATACATCTATTTATTCAATGAAAAAAAAAAGAAGAAAAGAAAAAGGCATCACAAATCTACTTGGTGTGATTCATCCAATCCATCTAATTAATTGTAAGTTGCAATCTATCCAAACTTACCCATTTAAGATGCGGTTTGAATATGGGTTTAGTTATCCATTTGAATGATCCAAAGTGATCGAACAATCCTAATTACTTATACTTAAAACCAATGGATGATTTTGAGATCCAATAGTGGATCTTGTATAAAAAGCATACAGCTGAAATCATTCATACATGTTTATAGCGTGTGAAATGGAGATCCAACAAGATCCACTGTTGGCATAGCCCCTTACAGATCAAACCCTTTCAAAATTCTATTGGCATAGCCCCTTACAGAAGCAACAATTTGTCAATTGCAAGTGAAGGCTCTCAAAGGAATGTGAGAAGGTGATATGCACTTAACCTGGAAGCCAACCTATAAAACTGGATTCTGATGTATTTGGGTTTATTGGAAGCTTCAGTAAATGTCTTCATAATCATCACCATCAATTATATTTCATGACTAAACCAGGCATGTCAGCAAAAAATAGTAGTGACAAGAAATACAGGTCTGCAAAAAGCACTATTTTCGTCAGTTCAAATCGATGATGAACAACTATCATTGACATCAAACGACAGACTTACCAGCATCCACAACAACAGTGTGTAAAGAGACTCTGCGAGGGAAACAACATCGTGTGTTCTCCTCTCAATGTGAAGTCGTGCTTAGGGTTTTAGGTAGCATTTCTTTTTTGGAATAGTGGTCCACAATGCATCAAATTAGAGTTACATCCGGCCACATCAACAGACACATCATCGCTAGGTAAGCTTTGCGTTTCAAGAAACGGTGTACCATTGGGGGAAGCGAGATTTTGAAGCTTCCCCCAACAGCTCCGTTCACGGAAATCAAGGTGTTAATGTTTCTTATCATTTATTTGATAACCGTTGAAACCAAACAATGGTTTCATGTGCAATAAATGCAAATTCTTATATGATGCTGATGTGGAGGTGTTTTCTCAACAAATGCCCATGAACCAAGCATGCTCTTACTTCTCCATATCCTCAGTTCCTCACTATCTTCTCTCTCCCTCTTCTCACTTACATTTTTTCTCTCTCTTTTATTTCTGTTTCCTCTCTCTCTTGTTTTCTCTTCTCTTTCTTTATCATTGAAGTCTAGTTTTTGTATTTGGATCGAACCAACCTTTTTAGCATTATGCCTTTAGCAGGGATGTAATTGGATCGGATCATATTTGAGTCAGGATATATATGAATAGTAAATACAATCTGATCCATAGATAAACATCGATTCAAATTCGAATCCATTAATAATGTTGGATATCGGATCAGATCTTTTTGGATCAAAATGGGGTGATTCAAATTCAATCAGATTCTATTATTCAATCCGATCCAATCTAAAAATCTAATAGGAGTATATCCAAATCCAACAAAATAAGATTGCATTTCAGATTTCCCTACTCTAGTTTGCGGGGATGCCTCCTAGGTGACAAATGGATGGGTTGGATTAGATGTGGATTGGAAGCCAACCTAACACATCCATGTTGATTCATTTGAGAAATAAAATGTTGAATTTTTCATATAGTGCCACATGTAAGGTTAAAATCACCGTGTCATTCCAAATAATTATATCTAACAAATAATCACAGACCTGACTAATACTTCGGAGTAGACGGCCAGGTCCTTGGAAGCAAGGTTCAACGTATTAATATGCCCCTTTGTATCGGTAGAGGTGTATATTTTTTAGTTTTATATCAACGTATTAATCACAGACCTGACTAAAAAGCATGTACTTTTATATTTTTTAGTTTTTTTTTTTCAAAAATTGGTTTTTGAGTAGATTTTTATATTTACTTTTATTAAAAAAAAAAAAGAGTTTCTAAAACCCCTGTTTAAAAAAGAGGGTTCCTAAAACCCAAAAGATACGATACGATATGCCCGATATCAAAATTTTGATTTTTACTTGAAAGTGTGATGAGAATGGCAAATTGGACAATTTTGAATGCTGCCCCATTACAACATCGAGTATATATAAAAGTAAGAAGAGCACAAGAACTAAAATGAGACCAAGTTTTTGCAATCCAAAACGGTCATGTGAATCCTCCATGGAGGCCGCCCTTATAAATTAATTAATGATCATTTAAATTCACTGTCAAGGCAGATTGGATCAACACCCAAGTCACGAATAAGGCATGGTTTTATCATTCAACATTCATACAGATATAATTTTGATATTTGTTGTGCTGTTATGTACCATTAATTTGTATGAATCAACATGGAGGAGTATGTATTTCCTGATTCAAAATTGAATGGCCCTACAAAATTAGGTAGGGCATAGACTGTTATTGTTATTGTTATTATCATCATCATCTAAATGTTAAAATAAGTATGGAATTTGGTATAGGAAATGCGGAGCCATAGAATGGGTCATGGGTTTGAATTGGTTACACGTTGAAGAGTATAGTAGGAGTTGGTTGCTTAAAGATAGAGTCTTACTTAGGTGAAGTTGTTAGAGTCCAACCGTTTGTAGTTTTAATTTGTTATTTAAGATATGCATGACACTCAGTCGAGGAAATTAGGGCAAAATTTACTTGATCATTTACAATGCAATCTCCCATAGAGATTATCCTCTTCTTCCCTTGATTCCATGGGATTTCTTTTAGATCCCATTTCGTTACCATAGGGATAGGTGGTGGAGGAAAGAAATCAACTTGTAATTAATTCTTCTCTTATGCCGTTCTCCAAGATAAGATCTGTACGTAGCAAAATCTATCGTCGTCGGTCCCTTTTACAAGAGTTGGACGACGATGGTCTTTCTCTCTCCCTCTCTCCACCTTCATCAGCTCCAAGCAGAGGTAAGCCTCTTCCTTCTCCTCATCATTCACCACCACAACCACTGCTACAACCATCATCACTACGACCACCACTAGTGTCATTTCAACCACCACCTATGTCTCCACCTCCACTACCACTCCCTCATTATCATCTATATCTTCCTAGTTTCACTACTACTACTACTACTACTACAACTACTACTACTACCTCTTCGACATCCAATACAACACTAGTCCGTCAAATAGAGCATGGCTCTTGTCGTACCGTTCGTGCTCGTCGGAACCCTACACAGTCTTCTCTCGGTGGAAAGAGTGAGATTATCACTCCTCCTTATCCATGGGCAACCTCCCATCGAGCTACTGTTTACAGTCTTGATAAACTGCTTTCCATGGGCATCTACACCATATCTGGAGAAGTAAAATGCAAGAGATGCGATCGCCAGTACGAGATGGAATTCGACCTTGGAAGCAAATTCATGGAAGTTGCAGCTTTCATTGCTGCAAAGAAGAGTACTATGCATGATCGAGCCCCAACAGATTGGATGAATCCCATACTCCCCACATGCCAGTATTGCGAACAAGTCAACAGTGCTAAGCCCATTATAGATGTCAAGAAAAAGAAAATCAATTGGCTTTTCCTTCTCCTCGGACAGATGCTTGGCTGTTGCAGCCTTGAACAACTCAAGTACTTCTGCAAGCACACTAAGAACCATCGCACGGGAGCGAAAGATCGGGTCCTTTATCTAACTTATCTTGGCCTCTGTAAACAACTCGATGATGCGGGTCCCTTTGATCGTTGAAATCTGTGTTTAGGGAGCTAATAATTTATTTATGTTTGGATTTAATTATTGTCATTTTTAGTAATACAAGTGTTAATTAATAGATAGTACATAGTAGTAGGTGCCTTTCTACCGTGCGTGTTATGTTTGTTTTTGATATTAACTAGTTTGGTTATAAATTTGCATGTGGTGTGGCTCCTTTTAAAAACTAATTAAGGTGATGTTTGGTATCCATGCTGATTCTTCTTAATTATTCATTTTCCAAAAATTGGTGATTTTTGAAATTAATGTTTATTTTTTCAAAAAATCGATCGGTAAATTAATTGTGTTATTTGGTATAGTTTCTAGCTTCCAATATAAGCCAATTTTTGAAAATTCATCTTTTAGTCTGTTTGGTATGGATTTTTTTTTTTTGCATTAAAGTTATTATTCAATGCCATGTTGGATGTTATGTCATCCTCAAAAATTCAGAATCAGCTAGAAATCAGGAAATCATCAAAAAAAAAAAAGTGATCCCCGGAAAAGGGCTGATTTAAAGAATCCATTTTTGGCCAATTTCTTGAGAAAATCACCAAAATTGGCCAACCAAATAGAAATTTCAAGAAATCAGCATTGATGCCAAACATCATCTGAAATATGCCCTGGAAAAATCCTTAAACCTCCCTTGAGGTTTTAAACAAATACTAAAACATTTTCTCAGATTTATCCTAATTCTATAATATCTCCCATTGAATGATTCTGCAATTAATTTTGACAAAAAAAGGAGAAACATCAAAAATTTTGTTATGAAATTCTGGATGTTTGAACCTAATACTAAAAATGTCTTGAGTAACCTAGTTCTTGATGTATGGGAAAAGGATGTTAGGGCTTATAGGGTTTAAAACTTATTTTTTATGGGGCTACACAACCCAAGTGTAGGGGTGACAATTTTCCCCATCCCCATTGAGTACCCGGCCTCCCCAACCAAGTGGGAATGGGGATGGTGACTGCCTTAGTAGGGACAGGATGGGATGGGATTAATAGGAATACCCAATCAAGGATGGGGACAGGGGTAGGGAGTGGAGTTCATGCCCCACCCCGACCCTGATTAATTATATTTACTAAATATATGTGTATAAATATTATATTAAATATATAATATTATTTATGTTATTTATAAAATTATTTATATTATATATATATATATCAAAATATATTTAAAATATTATTATCATTTCATTTTTTTTCCTTTACTTAATAAATACCCTTCTGAGCACAAACTTTAATTTAAAAAATCAGGGATTCAAGTTCCTAATGGAGAACCTGTCTCTGTCAAGGACCAAGGATGTAGGCTAAATTTTTCCTAATGGGATTGGGGTCGAAGATATGGATTAATTTAAAACTTTGGGTTAGGGATGGAGAGTAGATCCTTGCCAATTGCCATTCCTACCTGGGGAGTCATCCCCCAAACCAATAAATATAGTTCCAATAATTATGGCAACTATAAATGTCCAATAACTGTGCAAATTATTAAAATTTCCAATTATTTATTTGAATAATTGGAAGTTTTATAATTTAACTTTAACTAAATTAAATTACCAAAATCAATACTTTTTAGTAATTAAATTACCAAATTACTAACTATTGCTCAAAAATTATAGTAAATATCAAAATTACTGAAAATTGTAAAAATAAATTTATATTTATTGAAATTAATTTTTCACTAAAAAATTATTGAAATTTTTTAACTATTATCTGATAATATCATTAAATATTAATAAATTGACCAAAATTACTGAAAATATCAACAACTAATTATTGCTAAAGAATTACTAATAATATCAAAATTAATGAAAATGTAATATATATATATATATATATTGAAATAAACTTTCCAATGAAAAATTACTGATAATTTTTAATTATTAAATTTGTATTTATTATTATTTTAATTAATTAATCACTTTTCAGTTATTATTGATTTCAATAATTAATTTTCAAAAATTCCTGAAATTAAACTACCAAAATCAGTAATTTTTAGTAATTAAATTTTCCAATTTACCAAAATTATGGAAAATTATAGTTTAGATGTTGAGATTTACTATATAATATTCAATAATATCAATAATTATTAAAAGTATCAAAATATTTCACAAATTAATTTAACCATATGTTTGGTTTTTAAATGGTTTACTGGGCATGTAAGATAGAAATAATAACAACAACAACAACAACAACAACAACAACAATAGTAATGGTAATGATAAAATGCAGGATTTTAACATTTTCATTAAAAATAATTGCTAAGAATAGCATAGAATCGATCATATAACAAAAGGGAAAATAAGAAAAAAATAGTTTTGAACTCACCATTGAAGAATCGCTGCTAGCTAATTGTGTTTGCTTTTTTTCCCAAACTAGGATGTGGGAGAAACTGGTGGAAAATGGGTTCGAACCTACCACATTAGAGTCACAGCCTAAAAACAATGAGAAATGAAATAATTGGGGGGAGGGGAAGATTTGACTTACAAGAACTGTGAAATCCTCCTTGGTTGCTTGCTACCTCCACTTGGCTTCATCACTATTGCCTTTGATTTCTATCATCTTCTTTATAGAGAGTTATAACATGGATGTTTCAATTTTTGGGGACAGTATTGTCCCACCAAAAAATAAGCACTTAAAATTAACTGACTCAGGGTTGTTTAATTTTTAAGCACTTATTTTCAAAATATGTATTTATTATGGGCTTTTTTTTTGCCAAACACGAGTAAGTATTTATTTTCCACTTACTGTGTGGTTCCATCACTTATCTTAAGTACTTATTTGAATAAGCGTTTATTTTAAGTGATACCAAACAGGGGACATAATCGATTTGAGTTTCAACTTCTCTCTCCATCTACATCTCTTAGTTCCTTTGGTAACAAAGCACCTTTAAGGATTGCAAAACAATATAAAAAACCATGATTATTTGATCACATGTTAGAATGGATGAGTTTCAAATGTTTAGATGATTCAAACTATAGGGTAATGAAACCATCAATGCTTTCTTCTCTCCTATTTCCTCATTTCCATCCCGTTTCATCCCTTGTCCATTTCTATCTAAACTCTAAACCATCAAAAAAGAAAAATGAAGAAAACCATGCTACCTTTCTTTCATTCTACAAGAAAATAGATACTCTATTTGACATGGAAAAAAAGGAAAAAAAATGAAGAAGGACAAAATTTAAACACTTGCAGATAGAGCTATAGAAAAAAAAAAGGAAGAAGAAGATTGAAGCCAAATAGTGAAACAGAGGTGTTACAAATAATGAAATTACAAAAACTTTGAACCATAAACTTTGATTGACAACCCAATGGATACCCTTAACCCAATCCACCCTTATCCTTTCCCTTGACCCAAATGGGTTATTCAACTCATATTCAAATGGGTGGATTGGGTGGGCCAAAATTTCCAACCCTAATTCACATAAGTGTACAAACCTGACTATTTGAGCGATAAGCCCATAGTCCATTAGTCTTAGTAAAAAGGAAAGTTAAAAGTTGGCCTTGTTCAGTGGTACTTTATACTTTATACTTTTAAGAGTACCAAAGTACAAAGTACATGGTAAAAAATGTTGATAGTTTTATTTTAAAAACTTTTTGGATGAAATTTCAAAAACATGTTTTTGAAAATAAAATAAATGTTGGTATTTGAATATAACAAAATGTTTTATACATGTAAATACCACGTGAAATCATATATGGATGACACATGGCAAATAAATGCATGTAAATAACATGTGAATGCCATGTAACATCATATATGAGTGTCACATGGCATCCACATGTCATTGACCCCCATATTCATATGCCATGTGGCAGCAAACATGGATGCATATACTTGTCATTAATTATGTTTAGATGCCATATGACATCTAAATGTTGGGTCAATAACATGTGGATGCCACGTGGCATCTGTATGATGTCACATGGCACACACATGTCACTAAATATACTAATGTGTTTATGCTTCCACGTGGCATTCATGTATGCTTCAATCAAGGTTCAAAGTATCGAAAACGTAAGATATATCAATAAAACAATTTTAAGAGACGTATCGAAATACTCTTTAAATAAGCATGGATACAAACAAAAAATTAAGATACATTAGGAAATTCAAATAAATCATAAAAAATATAGTAATAACAATAAATATAAGTTTTATATAACTATAATGGAGTTATTTAAACATAAAAAATCATATTTTAATGGTTTATATACATTGTGACATATTGAAACACATTTAATAACCATTGAAAAATGATTGAAGAATTAAAATTTTAATGTATTAATTTTCATAAAATCAACATAGTTTGTATTATTTTTTGTTAATATATAAAATTTAATAATCAATTTAAGAATTTATTACCAACATTCTTTAAGAAGATAATATTTATTCAAGAATAAAAGTGCATAAATTTATGACAAGCAACTATAATATAGTACAATGGTAGACTTATGATTATTACAAACAAATGACTAAGGCGAATAAAGAGGGGGAATAATTATAGGGGTTATAGATAGTAATTATAAGAGCCCTTAGAGAGAAGGGAGTAATTATAGGGGTTATAAATAGCAATTAGAGGAATTATTAGGGAGGGGGGAATAATAATTTGGAATTTATTGACTGATACATATATAGTATTGACCTGTATCGAGTTTGTATCAGTCAATACAAGTCCGAAATGACCTGATACGGACATGTATCAAATCGATACAAATAGAAATGAACAAAACTATTGATTTCATTGTGTTCCATGTATAAACTCCTACAGAAACAATACATATCAGTCGATACGGGCTGACGTTATGAGGTGTATAAGTATTACATTTGTGGTTGATGCACATGTTTTAGAAAGTATAAAGTATGTCAGAGGGTTATAAAATATGAAATATCAAAAGGTGACTTCATACTTTTCGTGTTTTTTATATTTTTACTATGTGTTTTTTTAAAGTAGAAGATACGCCAAACAAATGCAATCTTGTACTTATTGTACTTTCATACTTTTAAAAGTATAAAAAATTATTTTGAAAATATAACCAAACAAGTAGAGCTACGTGCATTGTATCAAGCTCTAATCTAATAGTTTGGGCTCAAATTTGACTAGGCTTGATTTGAGTTTGATTCTAACTGAGCTTGAGTTGAGTTTGAACATTGGGGTAAGTTCGATTAGTTATTCGAGCTCGAGCTCAACCAATAAAAAGTTTGGCTCAAAAGCTCGCGAGCTTGGCTCGATTAACACATACATACATACATACATATTATAATATGTTTATATTCTATATATAAAAATATATTTTTATATTTTATCATTTATATTATAAAAATATATTTTTATGTTTTATATAATATAATATAATAATATACTATATATTATTAAAAATACCATATATATAATATACAAATATATTTATTTTCGAGCTTTCGAGCCGAACTCAAGCTCATTGAATATTTAATCGAATCGAGTTCAAGCTGAAAAATATAACTTGTGTCAAACTCGAGCATGAACTCGAACCTAGTAGTATTCTAGTCGACTTGAGCCAAGACATGCCAAAGTTCGGCTCGACTCGACTTGATTGAACCCTTGCAAATAAGGCCTGGATAAGGTAGTGGAAATAAATACTTCTCAAAATGAGACATTTGATGTCATTTTACAATAAGTAATTGAATTTATTCAAAGCATCTCTCAAAGGAAGGTCGTAGATTATAGCTTAGACCAATAATGTTTGTTTTGGAGGTAGGGGTACTATGGGCATATTTTTTAAATTGAAATTGGTCTCTTCGGTTTCTATATTGTCCCAAATCAAAACCAAACTAAATCAATCGGTTGATTGACCAGTTTGGTACTTATGGCTCTGTTTGGAAATTATGCAAATGGAGAGTAAATCTTAGTTCAGGGAAAATATGTATTTTGGTTCAGTTTTGTTGGTGTTTGGCAAAAATGCAGCTATGCATTGACAAATGAAACAAAACACATTTTCTAATGCATGTTTACATCTGAAATGAGATGTAAATGTACATCAATAAAAAAGGGAAAATTCCCGATAGGTACCTTGTACTTTAGGTCGAGTGCCAATTTAGTACTTGAACTTTAAAAGTTGACAATCTAGTACCCAAACTTTCATTTTGCGACGATTTAGTACCCGATGTTAATTCACCATCAGTCAGAAGACAAAAAAGACCTAATTACCCATCAACTATTTCGAGCAGTGCATGAATTCCCAATTGAAATTACGAAAATGACCCATCAACTATTCACTTGACAAGGTTTCGGTTATTTTGCGCACAGTTCGATTATTTTGAGGAAAGTGATGGATTCCTGATCATCACCAAATGCGTCCGGTAATGATAAGTTTTCCTTGCCCCATTGAAAGTTATAAAGACAATCATCAATTCCAAGTAAGAAGAGGAGATCGTTCTATTTTGTTCCTGAAGTTGGTAAAAGAAGAAGAAGAAAAAGGTCCATGTGTAGGCATGCTCAGACCCTCTTTCCTCATTTACAATTGATGATGATCTTGATCAGCAACCAAGGTGATTGAGTCACCACATGCACCCGAGATGCTTTAGTCGATGTCCTTTCCCAAATAGCCTTTCAACTGCACGTAGTCCACTCTTCAAACTAGTTCTACTAGCCTTGTACATAGACATTCAGAGGTTCTATGACAAAGGTAGGAGTTTCTTAATTCTCCACTGTCGCAGTTAGATATTCTCGAAACTCTTGGACCGATTGGCTTCTACGTGTTTCCAAAGACTGATCATGATCAGAGACCATATCAACGACTTTCTTTTTCTGATCATATTGCTTACCTAGATCATTATTCTTGTGATGGATGATTCCATAGAGCACCCAATGTTCGAATTGTGACAATTGGGCATTATTGACGAGGCTGTATTCATGCATGATCCAGCTCGTCTTGGTTGCATCTTTGCTAATTTTTTTCTCACCATTGAACTGATAGAACACAAGCGTCTTCATTTGCCCCACCAACATTCCATTCTCAAATTTCCTCATCCGCTGTGGTTGCCTTCCAAAACCCTCCTCATTCTCGTGGGTTCTTAACCACCCAATTTGGCCATGATTCATTCTCCGACTTCTTTGACCTATACATGAAGTAATAGTGTTCTTTGATCTCCCCGCCACCACCATCTATGCATAGAAGAAACTGGGGTTCAATATCGTATACATCTTGAGTCGATGCTCAAAAACTTTGATACTGCAACTAATGATGGTGATTCTACATCCATATACTTATATAGAGTGGAATTAGAAAATTTACATGTTATCCACTTCTTTTTTACAAACGTTGAAATGCGCCTTCCGAATTTGAAGAGTTTTGCATCCAAGTTGGACATGAAGACCAACTCCCAAGCATACACACTAGTTAAGCAATTTAATCGTAAGGAGTTGGGACACTTGCTTCGAGTTTGGATAGATGCCGAGCAATCTTCTCAAGCCGCACATTCGGACTGCACTATGGAAAATGTTCCAAAAACACAATGAGATATGAATGTGAGGAGCGCTCTGTGAGGATATCCCAATTCCTAAAATCACTCCTTTCTTACTCGAAGATGATAAGATACAACATTTGCCATTATGTCATTAATTCTAGTTCCAGTTAATAATTGGGTCAGGACTAAGTTTTGTTATTTCCAACCAATTCCAACTCAAGGCTGCATTTGTTTGCAATGCAAACGCAAATATGTACACTACATATTTACCCATTTTTCAGTTCATGAATACAAACATGATTCACATTTTAAACCGTTTTTGCATTCATCCTATTTGTTTGAAATCGGTGCAAAGGTGTGGGCCCATCATTAAATGCTCCAACCATCTTATACTCCAATGCCTCAACTTTGGTCAAAAAGTTAATTATCAAATGAACACAAAATTGTATCCAAAAAATATGTATAATGCTATCTTTTTAGAGTACAAAAGTGTCAGAAAATGCATTTTTGCTTTGATAATCATTACTTTTTTACATTTCAAACAAACGCTCGCAAATGCGAACCAGGGTGCATAAATACGCCAATACCGGTTCAGCGTTTGTATCGCAAACAAACAGACCAAGAGCCAAGCTCGTAAACGAATAACTAATTTGAGCTCCCCTCAAAGTTGGAATTCAATTATGAATTGGTTCCAGCAACAGTATTCGCTTGACAAGATTTCGGTTATTTTGTGCACATTTTTCGGTAAAGCATTTTGCGCACAGTTCTGATCTGAAAATGGTTCATATCAGAACCACCTTTCGGTTCAAATTCCACCAAAACATTTTTAGATCAAAACTGTGTGTGGTTCTGAAGCTAAACCTTGGTCCCACCATCTCTGATGCCTCTGGCAAGATGGCTATAGATGAACTCTGTGTGCGGTTCTAGAGTGGAGCCCGTATGAAAACTCCATCAGAACCGTGTGCGGTTCTGGAGTGGAGTCCGTATGAAAACTCCATCAGAACTGTGCGCGGTTATAGAAAACTCCATCAGAATTGTGCACAGTTATAGAGATGTTGGGGGAGTTGGGGCAAACAAATGTTAGGGGTGAAGCTTACCTCCTTTCTTTGCCATTCCTCTCTTCTGCCATTTCTTCAACCGTGTTTGAAGAGAAAGGGATGCAATGGGTGTGCTTGGAATAAAGAGGAAGGTCGGAGTTGAGTGACGTCTGCTCTTCTCTCTTGTTCGTTCAACCTAGATTGAAGTCTAAAGGGGGAGTTGAGTGAAGTCCCCTCTCCTCTCTCATTCGTTCAACCCAGATTGAACACAAAAGGGGATTAGGGAAATAGGAAGGGAAAAGGGTAAAATGGTTCGTATTTCTTTTTATAAAGTTTAGTTTTGGTATTTTGAAAATATTAACCCGCACCTGATATCACATGATTCTTCTAACGGACAGTGAGTTACGCAAGGTACTAAATCGTGCAAAATGAAAGTTTGGGTATTAGATTGTCGCGTTTTAAAGTTCAGGTACTAAATTGGAACGTGGTCTAAAGTACATGGTACCTATGGAGAATTTTCCCATTAAAAAGAAGTAAATTTGCATTCAATGTGAGCTTTGTTATAAAAGGCATATATTTGATTGGAATTCGTATTTGTATCCATTAGTTAAAAGTCTGTTTGGTAAGAAGATAAATTTGCTAAGGCAAAACTAACCCAACTTTGCATTTGTATGAACCCTTTTACACTTGCATATTTGCATTCACACTCTATTTGCATGTTGAAAATTATATAGAATATATCGGTCGGTTCGGTAACCGGATTTTTCAATTCGATTTAATCGATCCGGTTCGCTTTTCCGGTTTATCGATTTTTGATGAACACCCTGTCTAGACTCTGGAGTCTGGAGGGAAAAACGAAAAAGAGGGAGGAAAGCTGTAGGTGCCGGTTGGCGGAAAAAAAGGGAAGGCTAATAAGTGCCAAAGCGTAGTAGCGAAAAGAGAAAAAAAGTGCCAAAGGGGAGATCAGAGACGATGCCCGTTGCTCGACCTGAACCATCCGCTGCTCGCATAATCGCCCATGTTGACATGGACTGTTTCTACGTTCAAGGTCTTTTGTCTTCCAATATCCACATCATCATCGATAGTTATCTCTATGTGATTTTTGTTTATCTTTTATCTTTCTACAAATCTTTTATTTTTATTTTTTTGATTCTAATGGCGAAGGAAGAAGATACCCATTTGAATTACTATTTTGGTAGCTTCAAACTGTTTTTGATTTTGTACTCTCCTTTTCTTTCTCTTGGTGTGTTTTTGGAGAATTGACAGTTCTAGCTAATAACTGTAAGGGTCATGTGTTGTCGTCCTTATTCTCACCTTAGTTGAAGGCATGGTCCTAAGTGCCCATTTGAATTCCTGTCTTACACTGTAAGATATATAGTGGTTGGGTTTCTTTTCTGTTAGTGTCAGTTTATTTGCTGGATTTTTTGGACAGTGGTCGACATAATAGAAGAATACAAAAAACGAATTTCACTTCTAAGCAGAATTAAGACTGATTTCTACTAGATTGTAATGCATAGTGCTGAATTTCAGTAAGGAATTTAGAAAAGAGTTCTGTTAGTGTTGAACTGTTCTTTTTTTTGTCCCCTTGATTAATGCAAGTTTAGGAAATGAAGCACGTAGACTGATTAGAATCACCATTTTTCCGTGTTAACCTTATTTCTATTGCCTTGAATCAATACACCTGTGAGCACTGGTTGCTGTCAGGGCAGTTTTTCTGTGTATAGTTCTAGCTAGAGATGCATTACAGTGCAATGCCCTACATTCTACTACTCAATTGAACTTCTCTGAAGGCCTATCATCTTTCTCCCTGCCAAGGTGAATGAAGGAATAAATGTTTCAATATGATTCTTAGTTTCCAACCAAAGAGCAACTCGAGTTAACCAAAAAAAAGTAGTTCAATCATGTAGAGTTTGACCAATCTACTGTTTGTTTTTTTTTTTCTTCTTCATGGGGCTAAACAACCGAAGGGGTAGCCCATATACCCCCAACCCTGGTGGCAACAGGATTTGATCCCAAGTCTCTGCTACAACTTACCGACCAAAATTCTTGTTTTGGTTCAATGTGTTATTGTTTTCCAACCAATTTTTTCTTTTCTTTTTTTTCTTTTTTGATAAGTGATATTGATTGTGTTGGTTCAGGAGGGTGAGAGGCCCTCAACTATATATAAGAAGAGTGTAAGCCTTTGTAAAACAAAACTCAACAAAAAATTCAGAAGATGATGGACCACCAGTGATTGGAAAAGGAGATAGTAGGCACTCTCACAAAAGACTTCCAACCAAAACTTTTGAGATTCTGGTTATTTTATTCAGCACTAAGATCTGAATTCAATGCATATCAGATACTTCAAAAAAATTGAGTTGAACTTCTAAATTTCATTGTCATTTGCACCTTTGCTTGTTTGGTATAAATTAACATGTATCATTTTGATTTTATCTAATGTGGTGTTTCTTTTTTATTTTTTCTGAAATTTCTGCCCTTTTCTACAAGTAAATGAAGTTGTTAACAAGTATTTTCTTTTTATCCATGTTTTTTCATCCCACTGAATCAGACACTCAGACTCCTTGACATACATGAGATTCCAACTCCAATATTTGTCTCTGCGCAATACCAGCCTAATGTTGAAACTTGAAAAAAGGTTGGGATCACTAATATGCAATGAAGAATTAGTAACTATGTTTAATGGCATTCTCCTATTCTTTGACCCAATTTCTCTCCACTGTTCACTAATGTCAAGGCTATGGTTACCAGAGAAGAAATAGGTGTATAAAGAACAATGACACCTTTTGATGTCAATAAAATTAAGATAGACTTTCTTAATCCCCCTGCAAGAAAATCTTGGGATAACTAGAAAAAGTCAGTTTGGCATGGAAGATTCCCCAGTGTTTTAGAAGGCATGCCAGGTTAATGCAAGGCTCATTTTGTGGGTTGTGCCTCACCTAACTCAAGTGCACCCATGACCCAACCTACAATGTTATTATTTTTGAATGAGTTAAGTCAGTTAACATTGAATTTAATGTTTTAGAGTTTAAGCAGTTTAAACCTGTTTAGGACAGACTTACATGGTTACAATTTTAACTTTTAATAATATAAGGATCTAACCAATTAAGTTTATAGGCTTTAGGGAGTATTTTTCCTTCAAAATTTAGATTACCTTATTCTTATGTGATAAGCCTTTTTTTTTTGATAAGTAAATGGCAAAAAATTTATTAAATGAAAAGAAATTACAGATATGGTTACAATGATAAGTCTTTTTAATTTGTTTTTTCCTTTCAGAAGTGGCACCTCTCATGTCTTACACCTTACACTTAAGGCTCAGTTTGAAAAGAGTACAAATACAGATGTGTACAGTACAAATACATATAAAATAATACAAAATACAAGGTTTTGCACTCTATGTATTTGTATTTGTACTCCTTCCAAACTGAGCCTAAAGGAATCCCTTGCTCTGCGGTTGTCTTCTCGATTTTTAAACACTTAAATCCACTCAACTGTGTTGTCTTTTAGTTTGCCTTTTTCCTTACTCTTAAGATTGTGCTTTGGAGGATGGGAACTAGAGGCACTAGATGATGGTTGTGAAATTGTTTGACCTTGTAATCTTTGGCATTAACAAGTTAACTTTGGTTTTCATGCAGTTGTTTGAGGTTCAATTATTTGAAAATAATTTATAAGCCTGGGATAAAATGGTTGTAAAAAGCTGTTAATGGCAGTACAAAATTACAAATATTGAAATTTGGAGGCAAATGTAATTCAACAGACTTGGAAACAGCTTCTCTGTGTATCTGCAGGGGGTAAGGCTGCATACATGTCCCTCCCCAGACTCCGCATTGGTGGGAGCCTTGTTCACTGGGCTTCCATAAATGTAGTTCAATGGACATTTTTGGTTGGTCCCAATACAGAATATACTTGTAAAGCATCTCGTTATACGGGACTTTTATACTTTTGATATTAATACATTATACTTGCTCTTTTCAAAAAATAAAAAAAATGTAGTTCAATGGAAATGCAGCTACTGACCTAAGTCTGCAGTTTCAGCAGGATGTTGATAGCTGTTCAGTACTGCATTGATTGGCATCTATTTGGTTAACATGTCTTTTGCATCACCTTTAAGACCAACATTCAGATTCTATGACTTGCCTCTCTACTTCCTACACCATCTTTGAGAGTTTCAAAAATAGGGGTGATTAATTCAGAGTTTAATGGACAACAGCAGTAATGGGTGATAAACTCAGTGTTCTCATCTTATCTAATTCAGTGTTCTCATCTTAGTGTTCTCATCTTATCTAATTCAGTGTACTCATCTTATCTAGCTAGATACAGTTCTATCTTATCTAGTAGGGAGTCTTATCTGTTCAGTGTTCTTATTCTAAATTCAGTAGTATAGATCAGTAGGGAGTCCTCCTAAAAGTGGGATTCTTATCTTCTTGTAATCTCTTATTTAAAGGAGCTAATGATATTCAATAGAGACATCAAAATTATCAGTCAAGACAGAGTAGAGGAGAGTTGGTGATCTCTTGAACAAATCATCATTAAGGCGCCAAGATAGGTTCCTCAAGAAAAGGGAGGAACAAGGGAAAACAGGAGGTTTTCCTCGTGGACCGACCCGTGACGAGATCCTACTCACGGGTCTGTAAAAATTTGGTATCAGAGCAAGGCGTCATGGGTGACATTGAGCAGTTGACGACTAGGGTTCATGAACTAGAGAACAAGCTCGTGGAAAACAGCACGGAGGTGCGCGAGATCAAGGAAGACGTTCGAGAATTAAGGCGCATGATGGAGCTCTATTTTTCTAGCAAGGAGAGGAATCCAGAAGGGGCTGTAACCACAAACGGCCGCCGTCCAGACACAGCAGAATCGTCCGGCGAGCGGCAGGTCGTCGCCCAGGGAGCCGCAATCGTTCTCAAATACAGCAGGTTGGAGTTCCCTTCCTATAACGGCACGGGAGATCCATTGGGATGTCTGTACAGATGTGAGCAGTTCTTCCGCAACCAACGGACAGAGGACAGAGATAAGGTAAGCTTAGCTGCATTCCACATGACGGAGGAGGCGCAGCTCTGGTTTTATAGAGTAGAGCAGGAGGAACCCGGGCTCAGTTGGACCCAATTCAAATCCTACTGCCTTCTCAGATTTGGGCCCCCATTAACAAGCAACCCATTAGGCAAACTAATCAACATCAAACAGACGGGAACGGTGGCTGAATATCAGCGTCAGTTTCAGACCCTCCTTGCAAGAGCATCATCGGTACGACCAGACCAGCAGGTYGACATGTTCACCGTGGGGTTAGCAGAAACTTTGAGGGTGGATGTGGAGATGCAAAATCCCCCCAATCTGGTTACTGCTATGAATTTGGCTCACGCTTTTGAACGCAAGCTGCAACTCAACCGCGGAAGTATCAGTA